TTTCAGTGTTGATTATCACCTTCATCATGGTGCTGCAGATTTGAGTCTTCATTCAAATGCTGGTGATCTCATAAGTTCCAAAACAAAGAACTGGATCTAGTCAGGAGAGGTTACTTACGTATGACGTCTTCCAGATCGCCCGATAACTCTCTCCTTAGCTCGTTTTCGAGATCCTTTCCATAACGAACCTTGTAAGGTGTCCGAATCTGAAGAATAGAATCAAGATAAGCATGAAGGTATACTCCGCAGCTCTGCTTTTGAAGGGCCACTCTGAGAAGTTCTGCACCGGTCTGGCAATTAGAACATTTGACATCGACAGTATATATGGTTTTGACAATAATTCCAATTTATCAATGATTATCGAATTAATCCAACCAGGTTCTAATCAGAACTCAGTTAATGATGAGCAATCATTGACTGTTATTATTATTTTATTAATTTATTGTTTTTTTATTCTTTTTTAATCCTAAAAGTAAAAAGTACAGTAAGAAAGTAAAAACATTTGGTGATCTGTGGGCACCTTTGGCATGTATAAGAGAGAAGAGTGCAAAGACTGTCATGACCGTATGCGCGCGAAATCGACATGAATTTCGTACTACAGGTGGAAGAGCCTAAGGATGAACACATGCCTTAATAGTACACTTCCAGTATAAAGATCAATCCAAGGATGAATCTCTCCCCTTTGGATAAAAGAGCATGGATTTGAGAGATAGATGGTTCTAGATTTCATTGCCCGCTCAATTATTTACTTGTTTATTTATTTATTTATTAGTCACACCATAAGATTAAGGCATTGAAGCAATATTACACTATGGCACAGATTCCTAGCAATAACTCATACTACATAAAAATGGACCTGTTTGAAGCTGCAATCATGCTCCACAGAGCTGAAAAGACCTCCGTACTTATTTAGACACGGGAGAGACTATTCCACTCGTTTCATGGGTGAATGTAGGGGGAAACGAAAAACATACGAAAAAATGATTTCGGAGAAAAGGTAACAAAATTTCTTCTATTGAAGGTTACTATGTAGTACCATTTGTCGTTGGGCATTGTTGCATCGGACGAGAATTTCTATGACTTTCTGTTTATCTGTTCCATATCCCCTCATCGCTCTTTCCAGCGCCTCAGCCGCTAGATCCTCGTCGAACGACGCTGACGGATGGATTGTTGCCATCTGAAATCAGTTCAATTGTAGTTCCAAAAATCAGGATATGCTCAATAACCACATAAGAAGGAGATGGAACGAAAACCGATGAAAACCGCAGCAAAGAAAGAAGCATATGAAGAAATAGTCAGATCTAAAGGTCAGTTCTGGGAAGAGAAACCGTGATGATTCAAAGGTTTTGCCGTCGATAATGCTGACTCAATACTGTCAAAAGGAAGGTTTCTTCGTGTGACCTCTGAAGGTGGTGTTTGAAAGCGAGCTACGTCACCACAAAATAGTGTTTGAGAAAACCAGTTGTCTTGCAAGACGGTTGCCCATAACAAAAGCATTTAATGGAGATTAGTTTGAACGTCGTCATACTGAAGACTTAGCGAAGACGAATGAAATCGGACTTTGCCTTTTGCACTTTCCAACGCCTTTACCTGTTTCTTTGTTTGCTTGGTTCCTAAAAGTCATCGTCGCTCATTTTTGAGGTGCCATAAAAGACAATATGTTTGCTGCAAAGGTTTACTGCCCTGAAAAGTAATCCTGGGTATTAATTTTATGAGATTTTAACAAAACCTGCTGCCAAGATGGTAAATAAATTCTTATCAACTTACGTTTCGGCGTTATCGCCCTCTTCAGAGTTGGAAACCTGAAGACAATCGCTATCCATCCCTCATTCAACAATTTACCTTCAAAAACCGGTTCCCTAGACCTAATTTTTCCAAATGAGCATGATAACCCTTAAAACATTTAACCCACCTCCAACAACAACCGGTCGCTGAGACGACCGCCGCTAAACTGACCCATGGGGACTTGGGGTAGATGATATGTCCTATCCCTCTCGCCGTGATACCAGAGCCATATAAAACCCACAGAGGTCAGAGATTGGCGCGAGTTCACTAGCTACGGCTAGGAATTCGTCCTTCCTATTCATTTTTGGAGACCTGGCGTTGATTAAAAATGCTTCAAGTGTTTGCCGCGCCGAAATGAGGGGTTTTCGTAAAAGAATCCTAACTGTAATATCAAATACACACCTTTATGGGGCTCTACGGTGAGTATCTGAAGGGGTCTCCACCCTTGCTCGATTCAAACCGTCTAGGTGTTTCTTGACTCTAACGCACAGATGTCGCCCAGTCTCCCCTATATATTCTTCCTCGCATAGATTGAATGTGATCAGGTAGATCACGCCTGGTGTCATGCAGTCACCCTCCTGTCCATTAGGGCAGATGACGCAATTGGGAGTCAGGCAAAT